CGACATTAAGGCAAAAAAGGAGGTATGTATAATCTGTTATTTTAATTATTATTTAAATTAACTATATTATTTGATTTAAATAAATTTTATTGTTTTTGTAATTTTACAGTTTAATTGGAGACCATACATGAATGGAGAAATACTTGCGTTGATACCGCACGATATTTTAGATGGGTTTCAATATTGGTGTGCTGTTACACCATTGATCAATTTTGCGTTTGTTGAGATCCAATTTGGGGATAGAGTGTTGAGGCAATTCCACTTCCACCAACCTATTCCGCGGAGTCCATGGGATCATGACCTCCTCCAAATCTTAGATGGTCGTCGTCAGGTGAATTGGGTTGAGACGCATGACCAGCTGCACAGATTTGATGGTCGTCGTAAAGAAAATGTTAATTGGGTTGAGAATCATGCAATCTACATTAATGCTTGGAACAATAGGGCTTCATTCATGCCAATTCTTGACGACATTCAAGACGACGACTTTAATTTTGAGACTTCGGCTTACCTTGCTTATTTTTTGGATAATGGAAAGCCATTCTTGACAACAATTGTAGAGAGGCGACAATTTTTGAGGTTTAAGAAAAGATTTGGTAAAGCTGAATACTCTCTACCAAGTGGGAGTGGGGGTTCATCTCAACAACCTGAAGCGGAAATGACCGATGTGGATAATAGCGCACCACAACCGTTCGGCGATGCATACATACCAGAGTTTGTGCAGCCTGATGCATCCATCTACTCTCCCATGTTTTCGTCGACGTATGACTTTGAACACATGTCAGTTCAAATGCCCCCAACGAATGAGGAGGATGGGTACCATACTCCTGAGCAACCGCAACGGCCACAACGCATCAGACGTCCGCCCCAACATTATCATTCAACAACACCCCGACATCGGCAACAATTGTAAACTAGTTTGTTATTTGTTACAAATTTAATATTGACATTAGACTAGTTTTTTCAAACATTAACAAATTCGACATATTTATAATGATTTTTAGTATCAAATCATTATTATAATTTCATTACTAGTTATGTAACGAAAATATGGTTAATTGAACCAAACATTGTTCATTGTTCAAGTCGTAAATCATTACTATCAAATCATTACTAAATCATTAATATCAAATCATTAAATATTAATAATAAATTATTATTACTAATCATTACTATCAAATCATTAAAAATTAATAATAATTTCATTATTACTAATCATTACTAAATCATTACTATCAAATCATACATAATTAATAATAATTTCATTATTACTAATCATTAGTAAATCATTACTATCAAATCATTAAAAATTAATAATAATTTCATTATTACTAATCATTACTAAATCATTAATATCAAATCATTAAAAATTAATAATAATTTCATTATTACTAATCATTACTAAATCATTACTATCAAATCATACATAATTAATAATAATTTCATTATTACTAATCATTACTATCAAATTACTATTAAATCATTAAATATTAATAATAATTTCATCATTACTAATCATTACTAAATCTTATAAATACATAGAAATTCATAGAAATACATATATCATTACTAATGATGAGGCCTATATCTTGGTAAATTAGGACAATTGTTTTTTGAATGGCCTTCACCCCTACATAATCCGCATCTCTTTGTTTGACCTCTCTCTCTAGCATGGAAATCCATACTGGTATGAATACGAGTGGACTCAGGTCGACCCTTTGGACTTCTGCGAAGCATTGGATTTGGCAGCCATTCGTCATGATCTTTTCTGAGCCAATATGATTCATTTGGTATCTGTCTGAACTCATAGCTGTAGACATTTAATATCCTACGTAAGTGAAAGCACTCATCAACATAAGTGTATGCGCTTACACCAGCATACATACATGCTGCGACTGCATGAGCACATGGATATTTCCATGCCTGAAAACGACCACAATCACACCATTTATGTCGTAAATCAACTCTAAATGTTTGGTCTTCTCCTCCAACGTTACGGCGTATGCACGACACGACAAAAGTATGACCAACTCGGTCGAAATTATGAACAACCATTGATGTTGCCAATCGCTCATTTGCTTCCATTGATTCCACCACTGTAGGAGCCCAAGTTTTACCTCTATTTATAAGACTCTCTATTTCTTTGCCTTTGTCCGACCAAACTTTACCCAATCTAAAGTACGTCTCTTTCATCACACTCGCAATTGGGAGATGGCGTGTACCTTTTAGTACCGAATTAATGGCCTCAGCAAGGTTTGTGGTCATATGTTTGTATCTCCGACCTTCATCATATGCTTGTGACCATTTTTCCCGCGGTATTTTTGAAGCCCACTTCCAAACACGCTGATCATCGTAAAATACCTTCAAATTCTCCAATCTCTTATCAAAATTTGGTCGACGTAGTTCGTATCCTGTTTCATAATATACTGTGTTAAACCGCAATTAAAAAAACCATGTAAAAAATGCACAAATATTGAAAATAAAACTTACCCATGCTGACTATCTCGCTACGAATGTGCGTTATGAAATTGGTCGATACTATTCTTGCCAATATGACGGATACAATATGTCGGATATGCATACGGAGGTATCCAACGACTTCCTGGTCGTTCAATTGCCGCCAAAATACCAGTTCCTCTATCGGATATCAAGCAAACTCCATCTTCACGAACGACATATTGACGTAGATTGGTCAGAAAGAAATCCCAAGCCTCTGTTGTCTCTCCCTCAACAATGGCGAATACAATTGGGAAGATATTTCGCTCACCATCTTGAGCAACTGCCATCAAAAGTACATGCCTATATTGACCATACAGCCACGTACCATCTACTTGGATCATACGTTTACAAAATGGAAATCCTTCAATACATGCCTTGAATGCCCAAAATAGTCTATGAAATATTTTCTTCCCTGGCAGAAGTTGACCTTCTTCGTCATATGCGGGCATGGTTTGAGACTTCATTATGGTTCCTGGGATAAATCGCTTCATTGCTTGTAGCAAATGTGGTAGCTCATTGTACGATGTATCCCAATCTCCATACGTCAGCTTCATTGCCTTCATCTTCGCATTCCACACCTTGCCATATTTTACTTGATATCCAAATTGGCTTCGAATAGATGCAGCTAACACTGAACAAGATATCCTTGGATCCTTTTCAACCATCGCCTTCACGTATTCACATATTACATCGGAGTCCAATAGTCGGTGGTCTTGTTCGATGAAGTTTCGCAAACACGTGTGCGGACCATTGTACCTCGTGATGACCCAAACATCGTGCCTTTGATTTTTCGACACTCTGATCTTCCACTTGCACTCTAGGCCATATTTTACACACTTCGCGTATAGGGTTTTCTGGTTGGACTCTGCAACATGGATATCAACATGGCATTTTATGCAGTACTCTTTAATCGCCAGGGTAGCTTCATTTTTTCCTCTGAATTGCACCCCAACTAAAAATTCACCAGAATTATCGAATGATGCAGTCATTTGGTATGGAGGTAAATGTGGCATGTCTGGGAATTCAGGTGCCCTCATCGCATCATAGTCTATCTCGTACATGTGAAGAGTAGCTTCATACGGTGCCGGAACTTCATCAATTGCACCTCCACCAAAATATTTTCGTCGCCGCCCAAAACGGGTTCTTCGGTTTCTTCATCTTCGCTTGAATCATCATGAATTTCTCCCCATCGATTTTCAGCATCAATATCAACAACCAATTCCGGTATGTTTCTCGTCTCACACTCTTCTGTTGCAGATGTCCCCCGACTTCATTTACACTTTCCAATAGTGCCATAAAACTGTTCGGGAACCTGTATGTCGGCTCCTCAAACTGACTATATAAAGTCATTTCAGATGGATTTTGAGCCACACCTCTTGATGACCCAGGAACATCACATATGTTATGCACATCAACAAATAACTCAATAACTGCTATATTGGTTAACTCATGTAATCGAACCATGGTTCCAATATCATCATCTTCTTCAAGTGGAACTGCAGCATATTTGACTGGGTTGGGGCATATCATAAACCTATACCTCAAACCATCAACTGCAACTCGAATTTTTCTTTCTATCTTATGCTTCATTTCTATAAATGTGATGTCTTTTTGAACATCATATTTATTGGTTTTTCAGACTGAAAAACTACTCCGATCTCATTTTCCATAATCTGTCCATTATAATGGACAATCGTGAAAAAGTTGTTGCTCATTTCCTTTCCTTTCCTTTCCTTTATTGTTTCTTTCTTCGAATCAATATGTACGTGGAAAAATGTTGTGGAATAATGCTCTGTACGTGTAAAAAAATTATTTCTTTAAACAACAATAAATTAAAAAAATTAAATTTATATAATCTAATATATTATAATATAACTTAAACTAATAAACTATTTCTTTATTATAATATAATTTAGTTAAAATAACAAACTAACAAACTAATTAAGCACTAATTAACTTTTTAATATTTTAACTTAAACTTCAACAAACAACCTAATATACGTTTAAACACACTAACAAATTAATTAAATATTTTTTACATTTAATAACTTAAACTAAGAAACTAATTAACTAATTTTTTATATAATCTAATATATAACTTAAACTAACAATTTAATATAATATAACTTAAACTAACAAACTAATAATTTATACTAACAAACTAATTAACTAAATTTATGTTTTATCCTAAACTCTAAACTAACAAACTAATTATTTCATAATTTCATATTAATAAACTAAATTAAACAATTAAAAATTACCTCACAAACGATGTTTGAGCCTTTATCTCCATTTCCTCTTCTTCTTATTTTCCTTTCATTTCCTTTCTCTCGCCAAATTTTCTTTCTTTCTTATGATTCTACCCTAAACCCCTCATATCCAATAATAATGATATTTCAACGGTTGGTAGGTAAGCTGCAATCAATTTGAGCTGTATAATTCACGTTGAAAGCTGTAAAGTTTTCAACCGTTGAACGCTGCAATAATACAACACAGCTGATTTTATGCTGCACCAATACAACTATGATAACAAGAGTGAACAGTCTCGAAGCTATGGCATGAGGGACCAGCTATGGCTAGAAGCTAGGGCACGAATCTATGACACTTTGCAGCTCAAATCATGCTGCAATAATACAGCTATTACAGCTGCATGCATGAGTCTCCTGAGAAGATGTAAGAGGAATCACGCGAGGAGCAGGAGGAATATGTTCTCCTGAGCAGCTGCAAGTGGAGAGGATTGTATGGCTACCTATCCTGCATGGCCCAACGTTGTTCAGTCCAAGCATGGACTGCATGGTGACCTTTGGCGAGCTGGGCGTGCATGGAGGTCGTTGGGCGTGCATGGGCGTGCATGGAGGTGCTGGTAGGTCATGGAGGTCGTTGGGCGTGCCTGGGCGTGCATGGGCGTGCATGGAGGTGCTGGTAGGTCGCAGGGCATGCATGGCGACCTACCAGGTCGCTGGGCGTGCATGGCGACCTAGTAGGTCGCCGGGCGTGCATGGCGACCTACCCCCGGGACTGTAGAGGACACCACCTGAGCAATTAATCTGGCGATCCAACTATCTCGTGAAAAAAAAATTTTCAACGCATTATCTCGTTGATTTTGCCAGTGGTTGGGGGTATTAATAACCCCAATTGAAACATTATAATATTAATTTTTTACAAATAAAATAATGATAAAAAATGGTGTTTACAGGTATCAATCGCCTTGACAATAAATTCTCCATCTCTTCATCTGCAAATCCTTCTAGTTTCACAACCTTAAGACCGTTGAGATTTGCAGGACCACTGACTGTGGATGACGATTTTTCACTGCTACTCCTACTCAACTCATAGCATTTAGGATCAATCTGCAAGTTTTGATCAATCATAGCTGCTTGGTATTTGTTGATGGAAATAAGTTTGGATTGTCTGTCATTCAGCGGTTCATCGCTTTTGGTTTGGGCGGAGAGTCGTGACCGGTGAAAAAACCTCACTATATTATAAAAGATGCAAAAGTAGATGAAGGAAATGGGGAGACTTACAGTGACATAAAGTCTTTCCAAGTTGGGACAAAGCTTCAGAAAGCAAAGCAAAGCATTGATTGTGTCTGGCCATTGAACAATCAATCCACCACAGCTCTTTCAGTCGGCTGAAATATAATTCAGGGCCTCCACTTGAACTATAAAAACTCTTGCACATCGTTTGCTAGAGGAAAATGAAACAAGTTTAGAAGAAAGAGAACTCCATAGAAAAATTGAACATTTCTTTCACTCAGCACACCTCAAAGAACCATCTGCATATCGTTAGAGACTTGACACCATTTATGCTTCTCAAAATCGATTCGAAGCATCTATGCTTGCTGTCGCAGCTGCAACTATCGCTTCCGTCTGAACCGCGATGAGGACGAACGGTTGGTTCGAAGTCCCGAGTCCATTGTGTTAGAGGACCTTGTCTGAGATCAACCATGGCGTCTTCCAGGTATAATCCACAGTCACACGTCGAATATACGGTGGCGTAATAGCATCTGCAGCACACTTTGAACCGAAAGGACACTAAGTCGCCTCTGTATCGGAAACACCGTAAACGGGGACCCTGAAAACTCAGAAATTGTAATTGGGGGCAGTCCAGGACAATTAGCTTCTGAAGAACACCGGCATCTTCTACAACTAGAGATTGAACCCCGTTACACCTTTCAATTATCAAGCTCTCAAGAAAGGTAAGATTGGACGCCAAGCAAGTGAATGCTTTGCGTGAGAGCTGGCTGACTGATATTGGATAAAGGGTTTTTATTCTGAACTGTTGAGAAAAAGACAATGGGGGGTTTAACTCCATTATCTTGTCGTCTTGATTATAGGGCGGCGGTCACTCGCAACGTCATGGAAGACTCAACGACAAATACCAATCAAATGAAGCTGGGAATTCTTGTTCACCGGCTGAGAAATCAAGATGGACTGTCCTATCAGGCGTGACGGAAACAAAGAGAAGTGCACCTTGGCCAAGGTTGAATTGCAATCCCCAGTTATTTTTTGGTCGATTGTGTTCATCGAAATCATAAAGAAGATTGAATGCAGTAACAACAGCGTCGTCCATGGCTCTTTCAAGTACCAGAGTTTTTCTCCATAGGCCTTTCCATCGTCTCGAAAGGAAACCGGTGTGGACAGCAGATTCAAAAGGGAGGAAGCTAATGATATGGAAAAGGACGTCATCAGGGAAACAACTGATGACATCTTTAGCCTCAATGTTCCTGTAATTTAGAAGGAAACCCAGATTTATTTAATAGGGAATCATTGACAAAGAGTAAAATTGGTTTGATCATATAAATGAACAAAAATTAAGTAACATCGAAGAGAAAATACAAACAGTTGTTCCATTGCAGCATTTCTTGGAGTATGTTTTGGCCATGGATTCTTCTTGATCTTGCTTTTCTTTCCCATGTTTCCTAAAATTAAAGCATTTTGAATTACATATATGGGGTTTGGCTTGAATTTTGTTGCTGATGTTTGTTGCCTGTTAAAGCATATGTATAATATATGGGTCTGACACCGAACTTTCAGCTAAAGAACTCAATTAACTAATATGTATTATAAAAAGTAGGATTATCTCAGGAAAGGCGACTAATATACGACATTATCGGATATATTAAAAGATATTTAATAAATTCGGTTTAGTGCTATCTATTATGTTGACAGACTAATAATGTTTTAGATAGAAAACATGAAAAACTATTAAAAATTTTGGTAACCGGTAAACTTTGGAAGATGATATTAGAGATTGAACCCCGTTACACCTTTCAATTATCAAGCTCTCAAGAAAGGTAAGATTGGACGCCAAGCAAGTGAGTGCTTTGCGTGAGAGCTGGCTGACTGATATTAGATAAAGGGTTTTTATTCTGAACTGTTGAGCAAAAGACAATGGGGGGTTTCACTCCATTATCTTGTCGTCCTGATTATAGGGCGGCGGCCACTCTCAACGCTATGGAAGACTCATCGGCAAATACCAATCAAATGAAGCTGGGAATTCTTGTTCACAGGCTGAGAAATCAAGATGGTGTGTCCTATCAGGCGTGACGGAAACATAAAGAAGATTGAATGCAGTAACAACCGCGTCGTCCATGGCTCTTTCAAGTACCAGAGTCTTTCTCCATAGGCCTTTCCATCGTCTCGAAAGGAAACCTGTGTGGACAGCAGATTCAAAAGGGAGGAAGCTAATGATATGGAAAAGGATGTCATCAGGGAAACAACTGATGACATCTTTAGCCTCAATGTTCCTGTAATTTAGAAGGAAACCCAGATTTATTTAATAGGGAATCATTGACAAAGAGTAAAATTGGTTTGATCATATAAATGAACAAAAATTAAGTAACATCGAAGAGAAAATACAAACAGTTGTTCCATTGCAGCATTTCTGGGAGTATGTTTTGGCCACGGATTCTTCTTGATCTTGCTTTTCTTTCCCATGTTTCCTAAAATTAAAGCATTTTGAATTACATATATGGGGTTTGGCTTGAATTTTGCTGCTGATGTTTGTTGCCTGTTAAAGCATATGTACAATATATGGGTCTGACACCGAACTTTCAGCTAAAGAACTCACCTAACTAATAAGTATTATAAACGTAGAGCATTGGTTTTTCTAACTAATGGCAGTTGACTTTGTATTATATATTGGTTTTTCTAACCTTTTTAACCCAAATATAAGTATATAACCGTTAAAAATTAGGGTAAACTATTTACTTCTTTTCACTTACTATCAATCTTTTAATTTTATCAACACTACAAGAAAATATACCTTTAATGACACACGCTAATTTATGACTTGCAAAACATGCGTGTCATAAAAAAATGTCATGTTTTTTAAAATATGAACGATTTATGACTTACAATAATGTGTATCATATTGCCCGTATTCTAATTTCCCCCCATTATTTTCATCATTTCCCGCTTCTTCCCCTTTTTCTCTTTTTCCATTTTTCCCTTTCTCCAAAACGCCATCTTCTCCAACAAGATCATTATGTTCTCTAAATCCTATTGCCCGTATGCCATTTTTCTCCATTTCTTTTACATTTACAGTTTCGTTTCAACCTTTCAATGTTCATGATTTAGAATCATGATAGCGTAATCAATCTTGTTTCGACTTTTTGACTTCATGGGTATTTCTTCAAAAGTGTAATTGAAACTTCAATTCTTGGGGGTTTTGTGATTAGATAATATGATGGACTGCTCTTAATTCTTTCGCTTTTGTCTTGTTCGTAGGTATTGCCTTCGTGCCAAGTGGATTTTCAGTGAGCTAAATGAGAAACCTTATGTTGTAAAGCTTGATCTCAGAGGTATCTGTGTGGATATTATTCATATGCTTCTGATTCGTTTATTGTATGTGTGTGTGTGAGTAGAAAAAGAGTAATTTTAGATGAAGTGTTGACTTGTTCAGTTTTTGTTTTAGACGATGGAGGTAAAATCCAGTATGTCCTTCTGGATTTAATAGGTCGAAGCACTGTTCCACAAGTGTTTGTGAATTGCAAAAATATTGGAGGCTCTGATGGTTAGCTACTTTGTCTCCATAGTATTTTTTTTCTAGATATTAGACATATATATATTGATTTCATTTTTCTTATTTCTTTCTGACTATTTAGATCTCAAAGCTGCGGTCGATGATGGTACACTGCAAAGGTTTCTAGCTGCAAGTTGATGAACTGTTAGAAAGAAGGAAATACAATCATTCGATCTGATTTGTTAACTATAAAATTGCTCGAGGATTAGAGAATCATATATGGGTTGTGAGTTTTGCTAGTTCACATCAAGATTTCGATGAGTGCTATGTGATAATGGCATGCCCTTTGTGAGGTTATCTTATATTGCTTCATCGTTATGGAGGACTCTAGTTTAGATCTTAACTATCACAAGAAAATAATGTTTTGTAGTTTAGATTGCTTCATTTTGCTTTGCAGTGTAGTGAAACTATTTTTTAATCGATTTTTATTGAAATGATAATAGTGTCGAATAAGTAAATTTGGAGTTAATTGGATTGGATTTTTTTGTGTCTGCTTATGATTAATGATGTTTTGGAGAAAATTCATATCTACTTTCTGTTTTTCTTTTTTGTTGATTTATGGTTTTGCCTTTTGCTTATTTTCATATAGTAAGCGGCGATGGAGAGTCGAGTGAAGGAAGATGAGAAGAATGAGCGAATAATTCAGGGTCTTCTCAAACAACCGGAGAACCGTAGATGTATTAACTGCAACAGTTTGGTATGGTTTTCTTGTTTATGTTTTGATCTCATGATTGTGGACTTGATAAGTGTGTTGTTGTATCCTGGTATAGGTTGATGAAATATAACTCTGGGAATTGTTCATCAAATAATGGTTTAGTTTTAATTATAGATGTGCTTGCTGATATACATAGACTTTGAATTGATTACTCATTTACGACAGTGATGTTGGGGAAATCAATAATGCTTGTGGTCTATTTTTTATGGTATATTATTGATACTCCTATATTTATATCCCTGCATTAATGGAAGAATAACCTTTATTTTTTTTAAAAAAATGGAAAATAAGTTGGGCTGCTAAGATTATGTCTAGTGAGATAGGATGTATGTGTTTGACTACTTAATCAGTTTTTCACAGACATAAAACCTGATTAAAGTTTCATATTTTTAGAATCTTTACTATTAAACCTTTTGAGAAGTTCTATTTTTTCCATAAATATTTGTTTGAATATCCTCCTGAAATTTTGCTTCTGGTGATTTTGCTGTTGAAATATGTTTTTGCAGCATTTTCCTTATGCTAAACTGAATGTGATTTTTATTTGTATGCATAGATTTTGGAGTGCTTATACTTTCTTTGTCATATTGTTGTTATTTTCTAATTGTCAACTGAACAGGGGCCTCAATATGTTTGCACAAGTTTCTGGACATTTTTTTGCACCACCTGCGGTGGAATACAGTAAGTGTTCAATTTGGTTGGCAAGTTAAGTTTTCTTGACATATCGGCTGCTGATTAGCTTATATCTAAGAGATTGCATTTGATGATAGTCAGACGTCAATAAATTTTCTAAACTGGCTACCGGTTTTAATTGTTTCTAGTCGGGAGTTCACACACAGAGTTAAATCAGTATCTATGGCTAAATTCACTTCTCAAGAGGTTGTCGCTCTTCAAGAAGGGGGAAATCAGGTAAAGATTAACCTTCTCTCTCCATCTCTTGATAAAGATTTCTTGATAAAGAGCAAAATGAACAAATATCTTCATTAATTCACTGCAATAGATGATTCTCCCTTTATAATATCATGCAACGAAAGTCTATAACTGATCAAGCTTTATTAATTCACTTCTCAAGAGGTTGCAGTGGGTGTTGTCTCCCAAGTATTTCAATTTTCCGTTTCCTATGACGTTGACAATGATTCACATAGCATTCTCCGGAATCGTTGCATTTTCCTTGTCCGTGTTTTCAAGGTATGATTGACATGCAACTAACTTACCTAGACACTACAATTGGTGATGTTCTTTATGGTTGGAACCTGGTAAATGCAGGAAGTTTGGAAGGTCTCAATAATAGCTGGTGCAAGAAGGGCAAAGAAAAGCATAGATGTTACTGCAGCAGTCAGCCAAGCATTAAAGGAATCTGAGGGAGGTAAGGGAGTCCTGAAGTCTGTAAGGGATCTTAATGATACTCCTGCAAACCGACCTTAAAATCTCCATACTATGAATCTTCTCTTACTTAGAACGTAACAGTCTTGTCTCCCTCCTATTTGTTGGATTAGGACATGGAAATTTCTAATGCTTAATTTTACAATAAACTATGATAATAGTTGTTCGATTTCTTCATTTTCTTAAAGCATCCACTACCATCACATATTAGATGTGTGTGGGATTATATGAAGAAACTTATAAAAAATTGAATGTACCCGTGCTGAACTTATATTCATTTTAATTATTTGACATTTTGGTAGGTTAAGAAATTCAAAGACAAGGGACACAGTCAACAACCAACTACAACAACTCCTCCTGGTGGTGAATTCCATCCCCTTGACAATGACCAAGCTTCTGATCAGAAAAGAGCCTTTCCTAAGCGTTCAGCTGATGGCGCCGGTGATGGATTTGTTACTTCCGTTAGGGGCCTCTTCAACAATCAACGGCGCAAAGCCAAATAATTTGTGCTACGAACTATGAGGGGTGAAGAGGAGGGCGACCAATAGGGACAGTTGAGTGATGGCGATGCATCTGCTACAAGGTAAAGTCAGTGCTACTTACCTAGACATTAGATGCACTTGGTGGAGAGTCATAGGCTTTGATTTCAATTCTTCTTTGTGCAGCATAGATAGTACATCTCATGGCTAATCCGAGCAGGGAGAAGTAACTAATTTTATGTGAACTAGGACTATTGTTGAATTCATTTAAGGAGATTTGTAACTTTCAGTGTTTGTTTATTAACTTATAATAATGGTTATATGTTCTTTCTCACACTACAAGAAAATATACCTTTAATGACACACGAACGATGACACACGCTAATTTATGACTTGCAAAACATGTGTGTCATAAAAAATGTCATGTTTTTTAAAATCTGAACGATTTATGACTTATAATAATGTGTGTCATATTTAATAGTCATAATTAAAAAAAATTTAGAAAAACACAGAGTATAGATGAATTTTTTGTGTCATCTTTAGGAGTCATATTCTAATTCCACCCCCTTTATTTTTCATCCTTTCCGCTTCTGCTTCCCCCTGTTTAATAAAAGTTCATGCCGTGCTTCCCCCATTTTTCTCTGTTTTCCCTTTTTGTCTTTGCAACCTCCCAGTACCGGTTTGACCATTCACCACAACGCAGTCGAGGGAGTCAAAAATCAAGGGTTTCCATAGGTAATCCTCGTTCTCTATTCCAATATTTGTGGGTTTGTTGATTTCTATTTTGTCTGATTTAATGGGTTTGATGTTTTTACTTCATATATGCTTTTTGAATCGAGATTTTTTGCATGCATGCTTGTTTTATTTTCTATTATTTGTTTAATTGCTACTGATTTGTTCATTTCATAGGTTGTTTAAGTGGGTTATTTCGGTTTTTTTTACTTCAGTGGACTGTTATGCTAGTTCTTGATCTCTTTTGATTTTTGGGTTTTGATGGATTATGTATTTTGGTTCAAAAATGTTGAACTTTGATTTTCTTGTGATATATGTTTTTTTATGCTTGTTGAAATGTTTACAGACATATCTTGTTTCACATGACTTGAAGTATCATTGTCCGACATAAGGAGGGTATGGTGATATGACTCTCCAAGTACATGGACAAACCTAAAAAAGAATCTTGTATCCGTTACTCACTTCCGAGTCCAAGTGATATAGGTCTTAATGACCCTATAATAGTATATATTTCGAGGATTTTTGGAAGGTTATATTGTGTTTGGGATTCTTTTGTTTAAAAAATGAGGAGTCAGGGAGGTGCCTTTGCTTCCCAGTTCCCACATAAGTATTACATTCGCTAACTAGAATGATTCCAAGTTTTACCTAATTGCCATGTTTCAAATGGATTTACTTTTGGTTGCTTATGGCTGCTGGTTGTGGACTTTTCATTAGTGAAGAGGCTTTAAATATCTGGGTCTGTCCTTTGCATTGGTACTTAATGTTTCACTAACACAACTTTTCCTGCCTTTTTCTGCTTTCTATGTTGTTTGGATTCTTCTTTTCATTTGAAGTATCGGTATCTGACATTTTGTTTCGGACATATAGATATGTGGATATGACCTCCAAATATATTTTAAATGCATAGAAATAACTTTAAAAAATATAATAATACATGTATTCGACACTCATACTTAAGTTCGAGTAGCATAGTTCCCTTTTTATTGTTTTGCTAGTTTAACTAAACATTCCCTCTTAAAATTTAATTTTGTTTTTGATAAATGTAGGTTGGCATAACTTTGGCACGGATGCTATCATTGGATGGAACATGATATTCCTTTGCTGAGTCTCTCTCAAGAAATGCCCCATACATAATATCCACAGTTCTCTGGGTATACTGGTTAGTGGCATATTATCTTATTATTTATTTTAGTTGAATTTTGTAACTATGTTGCTCCGACTTTTCATTCTTTTCTTAAAGTGTTTATTTCTAACATTTTTGTCTGTCATATGGGTACTAGCATATGACTTTTAAGAATATTCTGTCTAATATAATCGTTCAGACATGTACTCCTATCTGATGCTCACACCCGAATTTAAGTAACGTAAAATACGATTATTAACTTATATAGAATACATTCTTTAAATGATGATTACGAATATAGGCAATGAGGATTTCTCATGTTACAAGCATGTGCTTCAACTTAAATTACAACAAGCACAAGACAAAGATTTGAGGGTAACACCAAGAACGTTAGAAGATATCGAATAGGCTAACACCAATAATTTATCTAACATGGTTAGGGTTTGTTCCAGTTTTGAATAAGATTTTTAGATTTTATGAATGGGTCATAACCCTTGAACATTGTTCTATAGCATAGTACAAAATGAATTTGTTAGGGTTACTTTGTACTCGATAATTTGGGATAAACATTTTGTTCTTCATATCTTACATAAATATTTCATCAATCATCAGTTATAAAGTTGTAGTTTTGCTAATACTTTATAATTATTTAGGTTGGTAAATAATGGTCGATGGATAAAGCATGGATTTCGTCTGATAGGTTATTTGATGCATATGAAGTGGGTGTAAACACCTTTCTATACTTTGCACAAAGTAATGATCCAAATTCAGATCTTATTCGATGTCCTTGTATATATTGTATCAATTTGTGGCACCACTCAATTCAGACCGTGCACTATCATCTGTTTGCCTATGGCTTCGATGAAAGTTATAAGGTTTGGTCTTTCCATGGAGAAAGACAGCACGAGCTTGATTCTAGATGCCCTAACAAATCTATTCCTCCCGACTTTGATTATACAAGAAATATGATACATGATGCCTTCAGAGATGTAGAAAAAGAACCCGATTCATTTAAGTCACTTCTTGAAGAATGTGAGAAGCCACTTTACGTAGGGTCAAAGTATATTGCACTTAGTGGATTATTGAAATTTCAACATATCAATGGTCAATTTGGGTGGTCTGAGGCTAGTTTTGAAGTATTGTTAGGTGCCCTAAAAGATGTCTTACCATTAAATAATAGAATACCTAACTCCCTATATGATGCCAAGAAATTGCTAAAAGGAATAGGTATACAATATGAAAAAATTCATGCATGTGAAAACAATTGTGTTCTATTCTGGAAAGAACATAGGGAAGCTTCTCAATGTCCAACTTGTGGCACATCTCGTTGGAAGAAGAGTACCAAAAACGTACATTCGAAAGTTTTGTGGTATTTTTCCCATCCCCAGATTTAGGAGAATGTTTTCATCACCAGAAATGGCACAAGACTTAACTTGGCATACACAAGGTCGGGCTAATAATGGTATGCTAAGTCATCCTCGCGATTCCCCCTCTTGGAATCTTGTTAATAGAACGTGGAAAAAATTTGAAGAAGAAAACGGAATCTTAGATTAGCATTTTCCGCAGATGGTATCAATCCTCACAAGTCATTAAGTTCCAAGTATAGTTGTTGGCCAGTTATCTTAATAACTTATAATCTACCCTCTTATTTGTGCATGACAAGAAAATTCATGATGTTGACTCTATTGATATCAGGTCCAAAACAACCTGGTAACAATATTGATGTCTACTTGGCACCATTGATAGCAGATCTAAACTCTTGTGGGAAATTGGCGTGAAGACATATGATTCTTATAAGAAAGAATACTTCAATCTAAGAGCAATATTACTTTGGACTATAAATGACTTTCCCGCATATGGTAATCTTTCGGGGTGTGTTACCAAAGGTTATTATGCGTATCCAATATGTTCAGAGAATACTTGTTCACAGTGGTTACCAAATTCGAAAAAAGTATGCTTTCTTGGTCATAGAAGATTCCTGCCACTTCAACATCCTCTTCGTAAAAGAAAAAAGATTTCAACAATAAACAAGAGGACGGTGTTATAAAACAACCATTATCAGGTGAAGAGATTTATGACTATCTGACCGGGTTTGTGACTTCATGGGGGTTAGAAGACAACGTCTAAGAAGAAAACGTCAAAGAAGAAAACGTCAAAGAAGGAAAAAGAAAGCATAAATGAGAGAGCTACAT